GTAGTTCTAGTTCCTACATCTCTCATGCTTATACAGCTGACCCTTCTGCACGTTGGAGACAGTACAAAAAGTCTTGGGAAAGTGAGGAGTCAGCTGTGTACTCCTTTATCATTCATGGTCCAGAAAGCAAATCAGATACTCCGCAGAAATATCTTGCTCTGTGCCTGTGGTGATCTGGAAGTGTTTGGAAAAATATTCCCTCCAGGAAACCCCAAGTCTCTGAGTTGCGGGGAGGAGAGAAGGGAGGAAGATGGAGAGTTGTTTTTTTCTCTCGCATATATCTAAAGACAGAGGAGTACTCCAGGAGAGTCAGCATGTCAGCCAGAGGGAGAGGGCAGCGGATCAAAGGAAGCTCTCAGCTCGCCTTCTACTCATGGAAAGGAGCTGTGCGGAGAAACTAGGGAGCTAGTGCCAGGGTCACTCAACTGGAGGAGCACTTCCCATAGGGATCAGCAGCTGATAAGGTAGGTTAGTCAGCAGTTTCCTCTTCCCATCTTAAGAGTCAAGCTAGAGTCTGCCGCTTAGGAGAGAGCCTGCACTGTACAGGCTCCAAAAGCATCTCTCTGGGCGAGAGCCTTGCAGCCTCTCTCTGCCCTGGGTGCCAGCAGTGCACAGAGATGCTGTAAATCCCAGCACCTGTGCTTGTCCGGAGTGAATTTTAGGTAGGTCCCAGGCCTTCTTAGGACAGCTTCCCTTTCTCCTGTTTGGAAGGCATAAACAGTTGTTACCAGATGCACAATTCCTTACCTCCCCAAGTGCTGGAGGAAGTGTTCTGAGTTTAGGGTTGCGTAACTCTTTCTTTTTGTTTGCCTTGTGATTAGGACGGAGGCACCAGAGGGCGTCGCTGTGCCATCGAGGCAGACATGAAGATGAAGAAATGATGCTGCAGGCAGACAGAAAATCCCAGCACCTGGCATCCAGAGCTGGAGTGCAAGCACGATACTGTTAACAGCTGTTGGAAGAGGAAGAAAAGCTGCAGGTCCATTTCTGGGACCTGGTCCACCTCCTTCACTTGCCCCTCTGAAAAGCAGTGTCTCATCAGGATGTGTAACCCAAAGAAACTTCCCCAGAGGGGAAGACTAGCCCCCCTGCCTGTTTTAGGGCAGTCGTCTTGGGCTTCATCAGTGTTCTGGTGTTAGCTAGCAACTGGTGGCTCGTATGTACTGTAATGTGAAGTGTACAGATTTTTACTAGTGATGTGTAAATGTGTATGTATATTAAAGTCGGAACAAATCCAGTGTACAGTGTGCAGTGTACTGAGCATCACACCTCTGCAGTGAGGAACCCTGGTTTTGTACAAGCGTACATACCTGTCTTGAATATCTGCAAATATAATTCTTCCAGTTAACCTTACAGCAGACAAGCATGGCAGAACTTTGACATTAGAGACAATCCATTTACCAGGGGAATGTTGCATAGTACTTGGGTGGAGGGGAAGATACCCTGCTTGAGTGTGTGAGAATATGGCACTGTTTCATGTTTGAGCTTGTGAACTGTTTCTACTGGAATTTACAGTTCTTTCCCTCAGCAATGTGGACATTTAACTGAGGTTTAAGTTCTCTGTGACAGTTTCAAATTACCTTCTTATTTTCTGATAAACATATTTTCTGTCTCCACGACCTTCTGAGTGGCGGGGAGGGAAAAACAAACAACATTGTCCTTCCTGATGCTTGAAGCAGCTGGGAGTGGTCTGTGCTTCCTTGTGCAGCATGTACAGGGTGCAGCTTTCTGAAATGCAACTTGCAGGAAACTTGAGTCATTGTGATTAGAATCAGAGGGACTGTTACCTCATTTTTCACAAGTTTTGTGTTGAAATTGGTTGTGCCTGCTGTGTTGAGTCCCATGTTAGGCTTGGGTGTATGTCCACCAAGGGTCACTCTACATTTGATGCTAGGAATGCAGAATCCTTTGGTTTGCTTATTGGGTTAAATTTCCTTCACTAATGGGAACAAATTTCTGATTTGAATTTTTATGGCCTCAGTTTCCAGAGATTACAGTGTTTATAACACAAAAAGTTACAGGTTTGGGTTTGGGGTTTTTTTCTGGTATTTTATGGAATAATTTAAGTTGGAAGGGACCTCTGAGCATTTATCTAGTCCAACCCGCTGCTCAAAGCAGGGTCAGCTTCAGAGGTAGACCGGGTTGCTCAGAGCCTTGTCTAGTCAAGTTCTGAAAACCTCCCAAGGATGAAGATTTCCTAACCCCTTTGGACAACTTGTTTCAGTGCTTGTCCACCCTCATGGAGTAAACATTTACCTTAAGTCCACTCTGAATTTCCTTTGGTGCAGCTTGTTACCTCTTCCTCCTCTCCTTTCACGGTTGGCCACTGAGAAGAGTCTGGCTCTGTCTCTGTAGCACCTCTGCCCCCTCTTTGTCCATGTTGAAAAACTGAAGTTGCAGCACAGGGAAAGACCTTTATCACACCCACTAGTAACTTGCTTTCATTATGGGAAGCATTGCTGTTCATTCCTACCCTTGGTTTCTTCTCTTAACCAATTATTTTTCCCTCAAAGAGCTTCTCTTGTCCCTATAACATTTCTATAGCCTTTAATGATGTTTAAGGTCTTTAAAAATCTAAGATGATATTTTCTTCCACAAAGCCTCATTGCCTCTTTCCCAATGCCTCATCTCATGCTCTGACTACTAATTCTGTTCTCTCTAATACCTTGTTCTAATCCGTCTAGTGCAGAGCTCAGGCTTACTGTGCTGCATCTCACAACATCCACCCTTTCTTTTATAGATGGATAATAACAATCACATCTTTCTGGTTTTCTTGTGCTGTGGCTAAGTTAAATGACAGGTTACACAGGATAGGTTTGGTCACGTTATATTTAAGCTTCTTTAAGACTCATCATTGAATCTCAACTGGTTCTAAGGTTTATTCCCTCCTTCAAGTTGTTCTAAAACCTCCCCTGTTGACATTTTAATTAGAAACAGTCTCTCGGACCCATCCCAAGAGAAAGTCTCGTGTGATCTCCTCTGTGGCAACTGCTGATAATGATGATTAATTTGGTTTTTCCAACTGGCCCTGTTTTCTGCTGAGATGTTTGGCACTGATCATGCGTCATCCCCCCTGATCATCTGCAGCTCTCTGCTTCTGATGTTTTTGATGAGGTTTGTTGTTGTTATTTGCTTTTATGTCTTTAGCAAATTGTTCTTCTTTTTTTTTCCTATTTTTTTGTGGATTCTACATTTCATTTACTGGAGTTCAGGCTTTTATCATTTTTCTTGTTTTGACATTAAGTTTCTTTTAAAGGCTGTCTTCATTATTTCTAAGCTTTTTCTCATATCAGTGAGGGTTGCACAGTGTCTGATCTCTGCAAAGCGAACTAAAACTTCCCAAATTGATAATGATTCCTTGCTGGTGACTTATGCAGCCAATGTAATTAAGAACTGTCAGGCAGTCCTTAATTAAAAGTCGAAGTCTGTATCATTTTGTCTCTTATTTTTTGTACAGAATTGGTGTGGAAGTAAGCAGTCTGTAATTATTTCACTCATCCTGCTTATCTTGCACTAACAGTGCTGTTCTGTGCTCTGACATCTTGAGTCTTCCAAGATTTAGTAAAACTGAACATAAGGCTGAAGATCTTTTTAATCAATGCTTATGCCCAAGTTCCTAAGCTTCTTTATTTTTAAACGCTTATCCCTCTCAGCTGGAGTACAGAAAGATGATCACAAGCAATTGGATTACCTTAGGCTAAGGCTTTTCTGTTCAGCTGAGCTGCGTTGGCTGGTTCTGCATGTGTGGCCAGCTCTGCTCATGGTACAGGGAAATGCTTTAGGCACAGGGTTACTCTTCAGATTAAATCAGTTTGCCCAACTCCTTCAGCTGGAAGCTGAGAGCAGGTATTGTTATCTTGCCTCATCAAATTTTATCTGCTTCAGCTGAAGTTAACTTTGAGACAGGTTTCAGAAGGACAGCATTTTGGATCCTAGCTCTGCTTTTAAGTTTGTAAAATAAGCAAACAAGTTTTCTCATCTCAAACCCAATGGATTCCTTAATTCTCCTAGGTGTGCACCGTAAGCTTTATTTGTAGCTGTGCTATCAGCCCTGAGAATGCCCAAGGAAGTTGGTGAGAAATGTGCTTGTTCAAAATTCTGGAAAAATTAGGTTGTACATGATTAACTGAAAACTCTAAAGACACTGCTAATTAATGCATAGAATTCTCCATAGGTATGGCATCCAGGCAGATGAGTTCAGTGGCAAGATACAGATTTTTCTAACAGTCATTTACTGTTGTTACTGTGATTCTGCAAGCAAATCCCCAGACTTAGAGAAATCGGTGGATTCATGCAGTAGAAGACACTTAGGCATGGACTGATGAGTGGAGATTAAATCAGTGGGTTTTTTCCTTCTTAAGAGGATGCTAACTTTTATTTTATGAAATGTGTAGAACTGTCTCCTGTCAATGTGTGACTGTGCATGGTTATAATTCTTCTGGCGTAGGTACACAAGATACCACCATCCACCAAAATCACATCTGTCACTTTCAAAACAGAGTGTCTGTAGTGTTTGTAATAACTTACTTCCAGTATAAAAACATCTCAAGGAGCAGCAAAGGGAATTTCAGTGAGTTGTCCTTGGAGTCACTAGTTGTTCACAACTTTGAGCAGCTCAGGAGCCCCAGCATGACTTGGTTTGAGTTTGCTGCTGGCTGCCTTCAGCACCTTATATATCTCGCATCCAACAAAGCCATATGCTCCTAACCAGCTCAGCATCCCCCGAGCACCATAACCCACCAACCCCTGGGCAGGGGGAGGGTACAGCAAAAGCACCAGAAAACATGAAATACGGTTGCTCTGAAATGTCAGTTTGTTGCAGAGCTACAGCCCTGTCACATGCTGTGAAGTGTGGGCTCAGGTGTAGGCTGCTGGCCTCACAGAGTCCTTCCCATGCTTTGCCTCTCTGAGTGTGTCAGGAAATGAGCTGGGATTTGTAGGTCTGGATCAGGGTACAAAGAAATTGCTGTTTATTTCTTTATGTTTGTTTGCAGATGGGCCATGCCTGGGTGTGGTGGGAGTCTGAGATGGAGTCTCCCAGTGAGTCAGAGAAGAACAGTGACTTCCAGTCTCTTCTCAGCTGGGATTCAAGCTTGGATCTGGACGTGGGGACCTGGAGGAATACTGAAGAGGTGGCCATGGGGAAGCTAGATGAGAGCAGCCGAGAGGCAGACCATGAGCTGGAGCTCAGTGAGGCTCTCTGGGAAAATGATAGTGAAGACTACCAAAAGGCAGAGAGCCCATGTGAAGACAACAGGCTTCTCCAGTTCTTCTCAGAGGTAGGGCTGTTTGGATGACAGGAAGTGGGTGGCATAGTTCAGGCCCTCCTGAAACATTATTAGTTTGCCGGGCCTCCACCATCTCTACACACAGAAACAGTCTGGGGGAGGAGCAGATGCCCAGAGTTCACTTGCCCCCTGTCCCAAGCCTAGCCCCTTCCTCCCATTTAAAGCTGGCACCACAGCCAGGCAGCTGCTTTGCCAAAACACAGCTTACCCTAAAGCACAGATATGTCAGTGAACTGACACTGTAATAATAACACAGAGCTTCATCAGAAGATTTTGCAAGGATTCCTAAAAATAGAAAGGCATTTGTGAGTGAAAGCAAAAATAGCATCTGTGCTGCTTATTTCTTCTTCCTTTTGCCTTCACAATTTGAAGCAATAAATCTCTGTTGCAGGTAACCCAGATGTTGGAACCTCTCCGCATAAGCAGCATAGAGTCACCACAGATTCAGTGGGATTATTGTGGCTCTGGGAAGCAGGGTGGTGGGGAAGATGTGAGGTGCCAGGAAAAGACCACAGGAACAGCAGTCTCAGGAGCAGAGGAAAGTCAACAACACATCCTAGTAGAAGATGAGAAGGAACAATTTCCAGGAAGAGAGGTAGGGGAGAGGAGGTCCTAAGAGAGCCTCTGGTACTAGCTGAGAGACAAGAGACAATGAAGGAAATCAGTTCTAGAACAGATAGGGAAGTTCTGAGTTGGGAGGCAGGGACACAGAGGAGGAGACAGCAGGGAGGGAATGCAAAAGAAATGTGTGAGGGGAAGGATGTTTTTTATGTATGGATCTTTATGAACAGGAAGCTTACCACAGATCAAACCCTCAGATGTGAGTTGGAGGAGTTGCTCCTTGGCAGTGTAAAGGTGACTCATGAGAGCTGGCAGTCTGCTGTCAGGTTTAAGGCAAGACTGGAATACTTGGCTTATTCTGATTGCTGTGTTATGCAGCACATAGTTTGGCTGGTTTCAGGCCTACATGGCTGTGATAGCAACAACCATCTGCCCCTGAAGACTGCCGTGTCTTGGAAGCGGACACTGTCTGGCCTGGGTCTGCATCAGTCCTCTGTCTAGGGGAACTGTGGGCTCCCACCAGCCTGCGAGGTGTTGTTGGGACAGGTAACATAGCAGTGGAAGAACAGTGCCATTTTTCCACACTCACATTTGTTCCCTTGCAAACTTAGACACTGGAGACAAAAATAACTTTCAGTGTTCTCACGTTGTACCTGTTCAGTCAGGATGGTGTTATTCCTGTGTTCAAAGCCAAACACAGCACAGTGTCCACTTCCTTCCTGAAGAGTCTGCTTCATGCTTCAGATCCCCTGCTGAGGAACTCTCAGGTGCCTCTGCACATAAGCCCACTTCTGGACTCCAAAGAGCCTCTCTCCCTGCGCCTGTCACTCTCTGCATTTTATTGGCAAATCATTACACCAACACCACCACTCTCCTTCCTGGCTGAGTCTATTCTCTGTCATATTCATGTAGGAGTTTGTGAGGAAACAACCTTGTTGCACTCCAGGGGATCCCATTATCTGTGTCTTGAGCTTTAACAAGGCTGAGGCAGTCTTACCTCAGCTCCTGATTGCCCTCTCATATCCATGTCTCTTCCCAGAAAAACAGATAGACACAACACTGGGTACCAGTCAGCTCCACAGTGTTTGTGTTAGCCAGAGGTGGTTATAATTCAAGAGATCAGACCCAGCTGTTACTGGAGTGCTATGCAGCACAGTGAATAAGGTCAAACATCATCCTCCAGAATAACAGAGAGCAAGCTAGCTCCCAGCTGAGACTGGATGCAGTAAAGGGATGTGCAGCAGGCTGGCTTCTAGATAAACGATTCAGGTGATGGGCTGCCATTTTAGACGTATCTTCCTTTTCCTTGTGCTCTTCAGGACAAAACTCAAGAGACACCTGGAGAACAAGGTTTAGGTGAGCTGCATCCACATGAGATGAATAATTGGGCCCAGGATCAAGATGATAGTGATGGTACCTCCACAGCCCCGGTGCTGGACTCCACAAGCCCTGCCAACACACAGCTGTAAGTAGTTCCTGCTCGCTTGCAGGCACAGCAGAACAGAGTTGGTTTGTTTCCCTTGTCTTACATGAGAACAAGCGTATGGCACAGGTCACATGCAGGAAGGTGAGATAGCCAAGGAGAACAAGAGGGAAGAAAGTAACTTGTGCTGTCTCTGTGGATCTGCCAGCATTTTTGTGCATTGATCCTAAACTGAAGTGAGAGGAGTAGAGATTAAATAAGAGATTAAATAGAAAATACATGTTTCCTCAAGGCCATGTGTGAGCTGGGCATCATGTTTCGTCAGGCAGTGGCCAGTCCAGCTCCTAATAGGGGCATTACCAGTCCCCTTTAGGCAGGTGCCAGCATGTCAGTCATATGCAGGCTCTGCCACATGCGTGATCATCTGGGCTGCCTTTTGAAGGAAAACCATATTTCTTGGGATTAGAATAAAAACCACGTCAGTCAAGTTCTGAACTTCTGAGTCGCATCAGCTTTTCTATCCAACTTGATCCTGCCCTTTAGAGCTGCTCAGCTCAGATCTTGTTTCTGCCTATTTCCCAGCATCTCCCTGTATTTTGGATGTTTAGTTGTGCATTCAGATGCAGAATGTTTCCACCATCTCACCCTGAGAGACTTTGCCTAGCTACAGCAAAGGATCTCTGCACTTCATCCACCTGGATGTGGCAGGTGCTAGCAGAATTGCCACCTCCTACTTTGTCTCAAGTGTGATGATCTGGCAGTATATTCCCTTCACAGGGTGCAGCTGAGCTGGGATAACCCCCTGCAGCATTTGCTCTTCAAAAGAACTCTGTTGTCCATCTGGAAGATGATAGTCAGTCACAGGTATGTGGGGGTAAAGGGTTAGATTGACATGGCTCTTGAACACATTGCCCTGACTTCCAGCTCCTGTGCCACCAGGCCTTGTCCTCCTCTCCATGACAGCCACCACAAGCTGGCTTGTCTCTCCATGGCTTTACTTCTGGCTGTCCTTGCAGCAAGAACAGCTGTGTGCTGCAAAGCTGGAGAGAACACTGCATATTTATTTCCTTTGCTTAATGTGGCAGAGCCCAAATGTTGCTTCCTACACAGCTGGCACAGCCAGCTTCAGCGAGGGGCTCAGCCTCCTCCCATAGCTAGTCATGCTAGCCACCAAATACAGACTGTTCCTAATTGGCCGCGGCCCTCACGGCAAGCAGGGAGAGGCAGGCACTGATCCATGTTGCAGTGTTGTCTTTGGCGGACAGAGATCATTCTTTGTGTTTGTCCCTGTAGATACAGCGGCCTGTTCCTGAAGGCAGTGTCAGAGAAACAAGCCCCTGGATACAGGGATGTGGTAAAGAGGTGGGTTTGTGGAGGAAGTGCTTGCTAGATGATTTCTCTCAATTTTTTCTGTCTTCTCTCGTATCCAGAGGGCCAGTGGGATGGTTTCCTTCCTCCTTTTCCAGAGTTTGTCTGGCTCCAGCATCTCCCACTGATTTCTTTTATTAAAACTCCCTTCCGGGTGATTAGAACCTGGAAACTTGCACCAACTCTGGTGCTGATGGGAATTGTGCATGCCCTTCCCTGGCACTGCATGGCAGACTTACACCAGGCACAGTCTGTGCAGCTGTAAGTCCTGCCTGAACAGGGGATTCAGCTTCTGCAGCTCAGCAGTCTCCTCTCCCCGTGGTGGAAATGTGTGCCTCAGTCAATACCCTTTCCTCATCCACTACTTTCTCCCAGATGTTTTACTCTCAGTGGAGAACTGGGTCATAAGAATATTTCCCAGAGAGATTAAGGACATTTTTCAGAGCTGAATCATATTCTATTCTGGTCACAGTTGTCGTCTCTGCAGCCATTCATTTTCTCATTCTGTCAAAATAAGGGAAGTAATATTTATTCTCCATCATGTTCCCCTTATCAGCACTGCTATTTTTGCTAGTGGCACCATTCGATTTTAAGGAGTTTTAATAGGTACCTATTTTAGTAACTTTTCTTTCTCCACTAAGACCTGCACTGACTTCTTGAAGACTAATTACTAGAATCGCTCTGCTGCCTTCTCTGGAGCTCAACATCAAATTTTTTTAGAGGTGACTGCTAATGACCTGCCAAGTTGATTGGATAGCAAGTGTTGCCTTGCCTAAACTTACTTGTCTGACTTAGAAGAAAAACGTTTCTCACTCCTCTTTGTCCTGAGCAATAAAATTGTTTGAAAATAGCTGTGCTTTCAGAGCCATGCTGAAACAAGAATGAGCACATTCTTGCAGAGCCTGAAGAATGCCTGGCCCTGGGTTGTAATTTAGTTTTTCTTCTGTGTTTTGCAGACCCATGGATTTAACCAGCATAAAGAGAAGACTGTCAAAGGGACACATTCAGTCCATGGTCCAGTTCCAGCGTGACCTCATGCTGATGTTCCAGAACGCGGTGATGTACAACAGCTTCAACCACCACGTGCACCGCATGGCCATGGAGATGCAGCGAGAGGTCCTGGAGCAGCTGCAGATGTTGGGTGAAGCCCTCCTGTGCTCAAGGGACAGGCTGGAGTTGGGGAGAAGGTAACAAGCCATGTCTGAGGCCTCTTTCTTTTGGAGTGGTGTTGTCTCCCTGGCTCAAGAGGTCTGCTGGGGCTCAGGGGATGTGCTGACACTGCAGCCATGGCCTCGGACAGGCCTCGTTATCCCCCCGTGGTGCCTGTCAGGCTGATGGGATAAGGAACAAAGCTGTTTCTAGGAGGGACACCAGAAAGAAAACCTCCTTTCTTCCCTGGGGAAAGCCGCAACGAAGCCCTGCAGTGAGAACACACTTGCAGCGTCACCGTCTGGGGGTTCGGATGGGGCTGATCGTTGTCCCTGTGTCACCTCGGGCAGCCCCACCGCGCTCCGGTCTCCACCCGCGGAGGAGGCCAACCGCACCCCAGTAAAGGCCCGTGTTGAAAGCCTGTCCACGCGTGTTTGACACCCTGGTCCGGGGCGGGGGGGGGGGGGGGCGGGACTGGAGCCCAGGGGGGCGGGAAGGCGCCGCTCGCCATTGGCCGGCGCGGTGGGCGGGCAGTGCCGGGGAGGGAGTTGCCGATTGGCTTGGCAAATAGCTGGCCCTTGTCAGTCATGCTCCGCCGTGCCGCGCGTGCCCTGGAAGCGGCGGGGCGGCCATGGCGCGGGAGAAGCAGCCGGAGGCGGCGGCGGAGGCGGAGGGAACTCCTGAGCGCTCGTACCGGGAGCAGCTCGACTACCTGAACCCCATCGCCCAGCCCCTCGCCTCTCGCAAGCTGACGCGCAAGCTCTACAAGTGCATCAGGAAAGGTCTGGCCGCCACCGGCACCGGGGCGTGGCGGGGGCGGGGGTGGGCCGTGGCGGCGCAGCCCTTTCACGGTGTGCTTCTCTTGCAGCGGCCAAACACAAACAGATCCGTCGCGGCGTGAAGGAGGTCCAGAAGTTCATCAACAAGGGCGAGAAGGGGTAAGCGCTGTCCCGGCCCCGCTGCCCCGGGCCGTCGCGGCCGCTGACACGAGCTTTTCCCCGCAGGATCACGGTGCTGGCCGGCGACACGCTGCCTATCGATGTGTACTGCCACATCCCCATCATGTGCGAGGACAGGAGCCTCCCCTACGCATACGTCCCTTCCAAATCGGTAAGGGGCTGGGGCTGCGCAGCCGGGAGGAGCCAGCCCTGCCCCAAAGGGCACCCGCTGGGCAGCGCCCGGCCCGGGCTGTGGCAGGAGGCTTCTCCCCGGGAGGCACAAATCTGGCGCCCAAGTAAAGCGCCCGGTGCTCGTCCGTGGCCAGGGCACCAGAGGGACAAACTGTCACGGCTCGGGTTTCACAGTGGGACCACGGAACTGTTTGCCTTCGTCAAGTCCCTGCAGCAGCTGGAGTGGGAGTGCTCAGGGGCAGAACCAGGAGGCATTTTCCCCACTTAGTTGTGAGCTGAGACCTGGAAGCTTGCAGAAATAAGACGCTGGCCAGGGTGTAGTGTTGGGGAGGGGGGTCTTCTGCTTTGTAGACTGGAAGTTGGGGGAGGTCAGTGTCGTTAGGGCTTCACCCCCAGTGCAGGCAGCTCTGCAGACCCTGGGGAAGGGGAATGATGTGTGAAGCGGGCACCAGCCCAGCGTTTTGCTTCTGAGGTGTAAGAGATGAGCTGGGAAATGGGTTGCTAAACCCAGCACCGGTCCAGAGAGCTTGGGGGGGCTGGCAGAGGCGTCTCCCCTGCATTAGACTGGGGCGCAAAACGTGTTGGCTGGGTGTCAGGCCTCCCCCACGACCTTGCTCTGTCCCGCAGGACCTGGGAGCCGCCGCCGGCTCGAAGCGCCCGACCTGTGTTATCATGATCAAGCCCCACGAGGAATACCAGGAGACCTACGATGAGTGCTTGGAGGAGGTGGAGGCCCTGCCCCTGCCACTGTGAAGAGCCGGGGACGGGCTGTGCCCGGTGGGGCCATGAGCCCCCGTTTGTTGGGGGGTGGGGGGGAGCACTGTGGGGGTGAATAAAGGTGTTTGTGAGGTTTGTAGGATGCGGTCCCAGCACTCCATACGGGGTGGGGGGGGAGGTGAGCGCTGGGGTGGTGAATAAAGGAGTAAAGGTGGGTGTTTGCCGGGATTTGTAGGACGCGGGGGGGGAGGGAGGTCAGCCACGCCGCCAGGGGGCAGCCGCGCTGCGGCCCGTGATGGGGAGACAACCATTCCCGGGACAGGGGGTGGCCGGGAGCGACCACACCGTGGTGAAATGGGGGTGGGGTTGTGTCTATGTCGCTCCTGCCCGGGTTAAACCATTCCCGCGGAGGGGGGCCGGGCCTGTCCCGCCGCAGCGCCCGCCCCCGCCGGGCCCAGCCGGTCGCGCAGGCCTGGGCCCCGCCGTGACTCAGCCCGCCGCAATGCCCCAACCGGTTGTACCGCCGGCCCCGGGCCGCCTCCCTCCCTCCCTCCCTCCCCGGCGACACAGCGGGGCCCGGGCCCGCCCGCGCCCCCCGTTCCCCCCCCGCCGCAGAGGAAGGCAGAGGCCAGAAGAACGAGATCCGGGTTTATTGCAGGAAAAGCCGAGGAGAGCTGAGCGAGGCCCAGCCTGCGCGTGGCTCTGGTGTTACAGGCATGGAGCAGGGCTCCTTCCAGCACCTCTCGACCTGGTCTCCCCTTGCACCGGCCCAGCTGCTCAGCTACGCGTCACCCACCCTGAGAGGGCTGGTGTGGGGGTGCCCCAGCCCCCTGCCCATGAGCCCCAGTCCTCCTTCCCCTCCTTACACAAGGACTTGCCCCTCTCAGCTCAAGTGCTCCCGGCTGGGAAGCTGCATGGAGCAGCCCCAAAAGTGGTGATACGGAAAGTCCTAACAGAGGTGCTGGGGCAGCTGCCCCCCCTCCCAGCAGTACCAGCACTGGTCAGGCTTTCCTCCTCTGCCTTCCCAGTGGCACCAACACAGACCAGTGCACGCACTGGGCATCCCTGCTGACAGGGCAGCCGCTGCGAGCAGCAGCTGGAACCTCTGCAGCAAGGCAGTGGGTTTGGGGACAAGGCTTCAGCCTCTCCTTAGCAAGAGATTAAGTTACTGGGTTGTAGGGAAACGGGGCGGCAGAGCAGGAGGGACAGGGAACATCTCGGGGCGCTTGGTTTCTGCCCCCATGGCAGAAGGAATCACAGGGCAAACGTTCCTGGAGTCAGAGCACAGGGTGCATGCAAGACCCCCACCCTGGCACAGAAGACCCCCCCCCCCTCCAGAGATACCTCCGCCCCCAGAGAAGGGCCCGAAGCACTGAAAGGAGGAAAAGCTCCCTTGTCGCAATCAGTCCTTCTCCCCAGGGCAGCGCTGAGCAGCCAGCCCTTGCGCAGATCCTGAGATCATCCCACTGCAGCAGCAAGAGACTTTTCCCCCTTCACAGTCCCGCCAGCATCCCACTGCTCAGATCTTCGAGGACTCCACCCGCTCAATCCACGGTGAGTCGGCCCCGACGTCCCTGGGCTCCGACCGCAGCTGCCGCAGCTCCCGCTCCAGCGCCTGGCTCCGGTGGTACATCTCCATGTAGCTGGCCTGGAGCTCCCGCTGGTACCGCAGCACCTTCTCCTTCTCCTCCTGCCAGGTTTTTCTCTCCAGCTCAAAGTTCACAGCCTGCAGCTGGCCCTGGCGCCGCTCCCGCAGCAGCTCTGCCCACAGCCACTCCACCTGCCGCTCCAGGGGCTCCGACGTGTCGCTGTGAAGGCCCCGGCACTTGGAGTCATCAGTTTCGCAGCCGGGGAAGTCCTGGCACGCCGGCATGGGGTCGTCACCCAGTGGCAGCGAGGCACCGGGCTCCACGGGGCTCTGGAAGGAGTCTGCCAGTTGTGCCAGCTGCGAGTCCCTGGCCTGGACCTCTGCCTTGGCCTCTCGCAGCTGTGTCTTCAGGCTGAAGATCTCACCCAGCTTCTGAGCCATCTCCTCCTGGGTGTCCCGGAGCTGCTGCTTCAGCAGGGAGATCTCCGCTGCCTTCTGGCACACCTGCAGGGCACGAGTGAGCAGTGAGGAAGGGTTGGAAGAGCAGGACCCCAGGGGTGGCAGCACTCCAGGTTGTCACCACAGCATCCCTGGGAAACCTGGAGCATCAAACCTGGCTCATCCCCCCTGTCCCATGGCCACAAGTGACACCAGAGCAAGGCACTGCTGGTCTTGTCCTGGCTCCACGACCAGGAGGGTGGCAACAGGGAGGGAAGGAAGGGGACTCACCTCCCACTTGGTCTCCTCCAGCTTGGGGCTGACACGCTCACCCTGGGGCTGCCGGAGCTTGGGCTCCTCGCACTGGCACTGCTGCATGCTCAGCTCCTCCTGCAGCCGCTTCTTCTCCTGCTGCGCCTTGTAGAGCTGCAGCTGCAGCGCCCGCTGCCCACGCTGCGCCTGCTGTGTCACCTGCTGCAGCCGGGCCACGTACATCTGCTTCAGATCTTCCAGCTCATCCAGCCACAGCCGCTGCTTGTCCTCAAATACCTGCCAGTACAGATGGACACTGGTGAGGGTCTGTAGCCTGCCCCTCTGCAGGGCAGCCCCAGGGAGGGATCCCAGAAGGTCCTGTGATGTTGGGTCCTCCCCTGCTTGGACATTCCCAACCCATCGCTCACCACAGCAGGACACTAGCTCCTTCACTGCTCCTTCCACCCAGGCACCGCTGCCCCACACCCCTGCCCAGGGCACCCCCAGCCCCATGGCTCACCTGTGTGAAGGGGTCTTCAGTCTCGCTAAGGCTCCTCTTGAGCTGCCGCAGCTCTCCTCCTGTCTCCTGCAGCCGATCCTCCAGCTGCTTCACCGCATCCTCCAGCGAGTAGGTGAACTCATAGGGTGGTGGGGGCTCGCCAGGGCTCTGCAGCCGGCTCAGCGTGGCCATGCTTTTGCAGGACAGCGGCACCTTCTCAGGGGCCAGGGGGTCCCTGGGGCTCCGGGAAACCCTGTCCAAGGAGCCCCCAATGTGGTTGATGTGGCCCATGGAGGCGCTGAACTGGCTCTGGGCAGGCTTGAGGCGGGAGCCATAGGAAGGGAAGCTCTGGATGGAGTTGTGGCTGGAGTCAGAGGCCTCATCCAGGCTGATGGCGTGGAGCAGGTGGGTGCGGAGCGGGCCATGCTGCGAGGCTGCCGTGCTGCTCTGCGACAGCAGCGTGTGCAGGCTCCCGTTGCTCTTGGACAGCTTCTGCCCCTTGGATGAGGACAGGCCCTGCATGGAGACCAGCCCCTTCCCAGCTACCGCCTTGAAGGCCGAGGGCCTGATACGGCACTGAAAAACAAGAGCGGGGTCAGGATGAGCCCAACAGCCCCCACCAGCACACACAGGCACCTGGAGCCAGAGAAAACCCACTCACTCCCAGCCTCGTATCCCTGGCCATCCTCAAATCCCCACATCCCATCCAGGGCACAGACCATTCTGCTCCAGCCCCATCCTCTCACAGAGCAGAACTTATTTCGGGGCCTGGCACAGGTCCCACAGCCTCACCTTGTCGAAGCGGCCCCTCTCAGGCAGGGAGCTCTTGGAGAAGTCAGCCCCGCGGTGATGCTCACGGGAGCAGCGCTCAGGGGACCGGTTCTCACGGTCGCTCTCATAGTCCCGCTTGTAACAGGCGCCTGACGTCTGGTGCTTCCTTTCTGACCGCACCTCCTTCTTGGCCCCGTGCAGGTAGCCAAAGAGCTCCCGCTGGCTTGGCCCCTTCCGCAGCAAGCCATCGGGCTGCCGAAGCCCCCGCGAGCCCCCCAGCTGGGCCCGCAGCTCCAGGGGGGACAGATCCTGCTTCTCCACCAGGCTGCCCACGCTGCCCATGCTGTCGATGACGCCGACGGGCTCCGAAGAGAGGTAGGTTCCAAGGATGCGGGTGTCAGGCTCACAGGTCACAGGACCCTGTGCTGCTGCCATGGAGGATTAGAGAAAAGCCCGATACCAGCACTGCCGAAGGAGAGACAAAGTCAGCAACACCGAGCAGCCAGGACTTCAAGCCCCCCTGGCGCTCTGTTTCCCAGCTGCCCCCAAGGACTGACATGGGCTCTGGGTGCTGGGAGGGACCCACCAGGCCCCGGGCAGCTTCCCAGGGGACCCAGGAGCCAAGCGAGCAGGGCAGCGCCGCGCAGCATGCACCGGGCAAGCCTCGGCTGGGCAGGGGCTCCCCACTGCTGCCCCCCCCCCCCCATGTTGAAGCGCCTCCTTCCCACACCCAGCCCCACCTCCCGCCCGCGGCCGGGGCTGCCACCAAAACAGGCACCTGCCGCCCAGCCAGGCGGGCGAGTTCGGGAGCCGGCAGCACCTGCCCAGGCCTGGCGCCAGCCCCGGCCCGGTGGCACCGAGCCACCCCGCCGGGACCTCAGGATCCGGACACCCTCTGGAGCCCTCCCCGGAATACCCTTGGGGGTGCCCAGTCCCGGGGGTCACTGGCTCAGCCTCCCCAGGGTGCGCAGGGTACGGGCATCTCTCCCACGCCGCGGGGAGTCTTCCCGCACAGCACGAGCTCCAGCTTCACGCAGGGCGAGTTCCCAAGCCCTTCCTGCAGCCCCGCTCTGTCTCCAGGTGCTCCCACCCCAACGCCAGGCAGGGACGAGGCAGCCACAGCCCAGCTGCTGTTTGGGGGGCGGGGGGGACGGGACACCCCCCCCCATGGTCAGACCCGGCAGGAAGGGGCAGGATGCGGATGGGACAATGCAGCTTCCTGCGCAGGTGGCCGGGGGAGGAAGGACAAGAGGATGCCTTTGGCTTTTGCTGCGGCTCCCCAGCGCCAGGGAGGGGGACGATGGCCCTCACAGCCCTTCACAGGCAGCCCCGGCGGAGGGGACACGGCAAGCATGGCGGAAGCCAGGCAGAGCCCCCACGGTGGCTCCCAGCCTCGCCGAGGGCTCACAGGGCTGGGTTACACCCAGGAAGCTGCCCTGGTTCTCAGCACCACGCGCCGGGTAAACAAACACCCCGCTTTTAATTGCTGCCACGCACAAACCTGTCTGACAGCTCCCGGCCTGCGCTGTCACCTCCTTCCATAAGCCCAGCACCTGCTCCGGGCATCGGCACCCCACAAAGGGCTGCAGGG